TGGGTTTAATTTTTCCCCCCCAAAATTTTTTTTCTTTTTTAGGAAAATTTTTTAACAATCCCTTCCCACTATCAACATTTGCTCTCCTTTGTATGTTCTCACCACTCTTCACCTTTCTTTTACTCTCCATATACTCGGGCCCTTTCTTATATCACTTCTGCTTTGTAAAAAGCTCTAAGCTACCTTTTTCTCTTTTATCACACCCTTCATTCCACTAATCACTCTTTTTTCCCCTCCTGCACCCACCCTCTTATAACCACAAACTTCTACCCCACATTCTGATACGCATTTTTAAAAATCCCATCCCACTTCAACCCCCTATCCTCCCAACTACCCATACTTGCACTAGTGCACCTTTCTCCCAATATTTTGCTTTTATCTCCCCCTTTAATTTCCCTTATCCCTTAGTGTATACACTTTCACCTCTCTTACTTGCTGTTGCCATATTCCTTTAGTCCATTTACCTCTTACTCTAACTGTAGCTACACCTAAATAATGATCCGATATATCCGTTGCCCCCTCTGTAAACGTGTACATCCTGAAGCCGACCCATCAACCTTTTATCCACCAATACATAATTTAAACTACTTTCATTACATGCTATATCATACCTTGTATTTAAAACCATTCATCACCACATCTAGGTATATATTTTACAGTAGGGCCCCGTTTTAAAACAGTGTGTCACTTTACAGTGTTCTGCTAATACGGTCATTTTAAATTACGACAAAACTCGTTATACGGGTCCCCCCACCTGACTTTCAAATACGGTCACCGTGCCCCACCCGGTTTTTTTTACATTCTCAGATCCAAGCACTAAGTCTCTCTTTATTATGTCTGGAAACAACAAATTTCAAGTGGTTTTTAAAAGTTTTCATATTTTATATATACTCTGATAATTATACTTCTTTTATCCCTGTACTTAAATAAACTTACATACTGTGCTGGCATGCAGGTACACATTAAAATCAATAAGAGTGTCTTGTGTCTCGAGACGTCATATTATTTAATAATAATAGAGTCATTAAATGTCGTTTTTATTACGTTATATACATTTTTTTCAATAATCCTTCATGATATTTTTCAAAAATTATATAATAAAAACGATGCATAACATATAAGTGATAAATACACCCCAATAGAATAAACAAATATGAGATGTGGTAGCCAGATAACTTGTACAAGTGATGGCAAGAATAACATTTTCTCTAGTCTAACGTAAGAGAAAATGTGTTACTGGGGTAACTGTAGAAAATTTTTCCCTTTTTGTATGAAAGTTTATTCAGGTATACAAAAAATACAGTTACATAGATTATCATACATAACAGCACAAGTGTAGAAAAACCTAGGATAACCCAAAAAGTCGGACTTATTTCTACTGCCTTCACTCAGTGTCATTTTTCTTCTAAAAATGGTTTTAAACACTGAGAATGGGAGTGTTCTTTATTAATTGTACCGTATCAATGTAGACAACTTTTACACAAGCAAACTTGTACACAAACGGACATGTACACTGTTTACTAAACTTATGTTCGCCTGGTTTGTTTACATAAGTCTGTGCCTGTCCTCTCATGTACTCATGTTCTCTCTCATTTAC